TCAGAATTACGTTTGTACACAAGTTGAAGCGGCATTGGAGAGGTGAGCTGCTTGCCCTTCGACTTAACTTCGAGATCGTTGAGGCGAGGTTCATAGGCATGAGGTAGTTAAGACTCCTAGGCATTATGTAGCCATGAAAATATGGAGGCATGCCTCAGATCCTTTGTTGGTAGTGACGGTTACACTTCGCCAGCTCGTGCCTGATTTGCCATCTCTTCATAGGAATGAGATAGTTGGCCTCAACATGCTCTTTCGAAGCAAGTAGGATAAGAGGGAAGGCCCTCGTCCGGGAACTGTGGAGTGGTAGTGCACGACCATTTAAGAAATTTCGAGAAGTTTGCGGCACTCTGTTGCTTGAATCCTTTCGCCCTTTCCCTGCCTAGGTGTATCCATGAGTGGTTCGAGGCACTTTTAACAAACTAATAACTAATTCGAACTTGAGGGGCCATTTTCCGTGGTCATGCTTTACCGTTCAAGTAGTAGGCAGCCAATCTCCTTTGCCCATACCTGACTTTGAATTCACAGAAATTACCGAACTTGTACCTTTCAAAGTTTCTTGTACGTCATGAGTCGCTTTTCAGAGAAGTCGAACGATTGTGCAGCCAAGGAAAACGGAACTACTCTTATGCTGTCGGTTTACTGGCAATGGCAAATCGCATGTGCGAAACTAGAGGAATAAGCAACGGTGATGCTGACGTCGCCGCGAGACGTCAAGTACTCCTAGCTGCCAGTCGGTTATTGGCATTCGCTCCAGAGGTCAGTTTACTTCACTAAAAGCCTGGTCTCCCCTCACCGATAACTGTTTAGGCCGTCCAAACCCAGTGTTTATCATCATTGTGCAGTCTTTTACCCACAGCTCATCCATCAACAGTCGACGTTTCACGTCTACTAAAGCATCTACTGGTACCGGTCGCTAAAGCACTAGTACTCCAAGTCAGGGATAAAGCGGCTCATTCGGTCACCACAGCTACCATGAACGTGAGTTCCTTTCCTGGAATGTAAAAAGGGCTCAGGCTGAGTCCGGATGGTTCCGAATTCTTTCATTTTCAGACTTGCCTATCCAATGCTCCACAGAGCTGGCGTACTGATCGCCCAGTCTCGCCTGAAATTGGCAAAATGACGGCGCAGTTCATCAATGACGTTTGGTTAGTGATTTCCTAGCACCTCTCGAGCTTTTTAGTTTTCCCCACGAATCGTAATTTTTCAAGCTCCGGCAACTTCAACGATGACTGGTCGGTATGTATGCGACGGGAATTGGCC